GGAGACTGCGACCATACCAAAGGCCACAACATCTTGGTCTTCATATCCTCAAGCGTTTTATATTTTAGAGGCAGTTTGCGTCCTTCTTTGGAACACAATAAGGTCATCGAAATAACTGAAAAACAGCAGGAGCAAACGAATATCGTACAGGAGACATTTGTGCTTGATTGTGGGCCGCCAGAGCTTAGTAGAAACTCATCTAACTCACCTCCCTCTCTGGTCGAAAGAGCTTTACTCCTCGTTAAGTTGATGCGTAGGAGTCGACACTTTTAGTGGTTTCAGTACAAAAGAAATATGAACGGACAGTCAGACAGACTGATAAATATATACACAAATACAGAGATACAACAAGAATGAAAGAAAAGTGAAAGAAACAACTCACAAAGTCACAAATATCACGTGAGAGTTCGAGGAAAGGTCCGCTGCCAGGTATTGACATGTCAGGTTGGTACACCAATGAGCCCCCTGATGAGTCGAAAAGCTCTGAGGTAACGGCCAACAGGATTTGACCTAAATGGTAAAAGCTCATGGCTTTAATCTGTATGTTACTTCTTCAAAGTGACATAACGCTCGAAAGCTTACCTTTTATTCCTTGTTTTGTATGAATATAATGGCGTCCTTTGAGCAGATTTGTTGCAAAAGATTCCGTGCTTTTGCATTTTGACATATTCCAGGCCTGACTCTGATGAGCTCAAACATAAAGCACCCTTTTTTCGTGAGTGAATAGGTCTTTGAGACTATCAGTAAATGAAATATATGAATTGTATTCTCCCTATTTCGCTTACGGTGATGAAGGAATGGTAGTAGAATTCTCCCAAAATGCTATGAGTAGAGCTGATGTTTTCCATTGAGTTGCACTTAGACTTGCTTTCCCAAAAGGTGATCTCATCCAAGCACCAGTGAAATGCAGTTTAGACCTCACATAGGTCTTGGCAACACCACAAGCTGGAGTCAAACCATGACAGTTCAGCGTGTAAGCACGACACATTGCCATGAGTGTAATTGGGCCGGAGGGCAGGTATGAATTTCAAGGAATGTCAAACATTTTCCATATCACATTCTGTGTTGGGACCGTCGATGAAGCAAACTCACATTTGCTATAGCACCCTGCAAAGGCTGACAACAATAATGAAGAAAGCATCAGCAATAAAGACAACGAACTGAGTGGGCCTCAGTAGGCCAGTGAATTTCTCTCAGCCAGGCTGGACTGAACTGTGATTTCGACCCTACCTCACCCTCTCGCCATCACTACTAATGGACTTAGACACCGAATTGTGTGCGTAGTGGTGACGTGAATACTTTATTACACATCATTGGGTGCTATGGCAGGACAGAGCAAACCAAAGTTCATTCAAATCAAATATCATAGTGGATTTGTGGATTAAGCCGGAAACAAGAAATAAGGTCATGAGCCTTAAAGAAAGAGGGTCTAATGGCCCCATGAATCCCGATATAAAGGGCAACGAGATTGTTTTGTGTACATTTTCTTGTTGGGACATAGCAACAAGCTAGGGCAGCCCAAACAGGTCTCGTAAAGGTTCAGCTTCAGATGTGTTTCCTGAGTTGGAAATACATTGCCTCTATTTAGATGCGAAAAAAGGATGGAAGAGCGTTTCAGGCAGCCAATTACCGAGTGGCGTCT